CCCCCCCCCGCCTCCAGACATTTAGACTTTTTGAATGTTAAGCATGGCCACATTCCTCCTGCTGTCTGTGTGTGTGTGTCCTTTGTGCTGACCGTCTCTCGTCCTCTCCACAGATCGAGAATGTGGACGCCTGTCTCAATTTCCTGGACGCTAAAGGAGTGAACGTAACAGGGCTCTCAGCAGAAGGTAAGAAATAGACCTTAATTTAAGGGCCTGATTGAACTCTTAATTGATCTCCTTGTTGGATTTCTAATGTCTAAACCTGGGAAACGAATTTGGCTCAAGCAGCACCCGACCTTCTGTGAGTAGCTTTCCAATTATTCACAATACCAACAATTTAAAAAGCTGGTATTAGTATTTCCAAGACACACTATCATACTTCACACCAAAGGAATGTACCACGTTGGTATCAGGACAGTTTCTCCATCTCGATGGCAGCGTAAGCAATCATTAGGGCATCAACGTGGATTGTGAGAGGATGAAAACCCCAGAGAGTAAATCTCCCTCTCAGCCATCAGGGTCCACATCACTCTGCTCTCACACAGCAGGGCTCTGTGCTGGAGGAATGCTTTTAGACATCAACCATAAGCTGATGATTTATCACAAAGCAGGAGCTCAAGAGTTCAGTTTACTCTCAAATGATGAGTGCTGGTTTTGTTTTACACTTTGGAACAGGAACGCAGAGTTTATGTTTCCAGTGTGAGTAGCATTGCATGGTGTGATGTTTACCAACCTGTAGCACATGAAGCATTCAGAAGGCATCAAAACACCAGCACTTACGACGGTACGATCTCGTCTGAAGTGATATATCTGCACTTTCCTTGTTGTTCGTGGTTTGAGTCGTTATGCTTTTTGCACTTATTGTAAGTCTCTTTGGACAAAAGTGTCAGCTAAATGATATGTAATGTAATGTAATACACAATAGCTAACATGTCCCTATCTCGAAAGTAAATTGATGCTGTCAACTTTTCAAGAGCTAAACCCACCTGATAACAGCTTGGTGAAAATGCACTTGTGTGTTCCCATTCGTTTGTGTATTTATTATTAAGAAGACAAAGAAATGATGTCGAAATCACTTAAAGT